AAGTAAATCAGAAGAGAATTTATAGTAAATAAGCAGGCAAATTTGCCTGCGAACCTTTACAGTTTAAGGGATATTATTTAAAATAATTTATTCATTATATGTATGATATTTTTCTTTTCATTTTTCATATATATTCTGAGAACTTAAAATTTTTAGTTATAAAAAATATATTTTTCCCTTGTGTTAAATGTCATATATTTTAATTTTAACTAGCATTATATAATTTTATTTAAAAGTGATATATTGCATTTGTGATGAATAAAATTTATTCTATTATTTTATCTGTTTAATAACTATAAAATATATATTTTAGTTAGATTATTTAATAATTAAAATTTATATATTTTAAATTTTTAATCAGGGAGAAATATATATATAAAATACTGAAATAAACTTTATAATTTTTTATTATAATTTTTATTTGATATTCTTATAGTTAACTATATAAATCATAAAAACATTTTGATTTTTATGAAGTTTTTTTTATTTATTTTTTATTTTATAATTTTTTTGTTTTTTTATAATTTAATTTCTATTTTAAAAATTTAAAAGATAAAATAATTGTATAAAACTAATAATTATTCATAGTAAGAATTTTTTTTTAAATACAAATAATTATGATTCAATCTTATATTAAATTGATTATATATTTTAATTATACTGTATATACAGTATATCTTTATGCTATCCTTAAAATATCAAATCATATACAAATCTTCTTTTTAATCAGTTTATATTTTCCAATAAATCTAAATTTGTAAATCTCTAATCAATTTAACATTAACGAGAGAAAGTACAAGAATTAATAATTTTAAGTTCATAACTGATTATGGATATTGCAAAAGCCACAAAGTTACCGAGCTATTTGACGGGGTATAAGCCACAACGTTTACCCGAAAGATCACGTAGCATAGCCACATAATTAATATGACATTTTTGATTTGTTTTCAAGAAAAAAAGGAAAAGAAAAATATTAAATATTACGTAAAGATAAGAGAAAAATGAAAAGGCGAAGCCAAAATAACGGATATCGGATTATTTCAACAGGTTTAAATAGTTTAATGGATTTTTTTTTTCCTTTTTTTTTTTTTTTTTTTTTTTTTGTAAGCAGGTGTGAGAAGTTGGTTTTTATATTGATTCCTCTTCATTTTCACTTTTTAACACCTCGAAACTTTTTAAATTTTTATTAAACTTTTCTTAGAAAATAAGCATTTTGAATAGATGCGAATATATATCAATTAAAAAGTATATTGAAAATATGATTTGTGGATCAAACGGGGTCACCTCCCTAGGAGGGATTGCAATTTTAGTGTCGGCAATGATAGGTCCGGGGCTAGTTACAAGTAATGTCACATCATTTTTAAAGTCAAATTAACAGTTCGCAATAAATAGTAAATCATGACTTACCTTTCGTAGCTCCGATATTGTTTGAAACTGCGGGATGGATAACGTGAGAATATTTCAGAAGGTCATAAAACAATTTGCAACAGCAAGATTAATAATCATATTTAATATGCATATTTGTAGACCGATGATTATGTTCGGTCTGGCGATATTGTTAGCGAGTTCATCATCATTATTACTAATAGAAGCATTAAGCTCGATACCAGGAAACGAAAGATTTCAGGTGAAATTTACCTTTCCTTCGTTAATCTTAGCCAATTTGAAGCTAATATATAGTAACTTTTCTTTTTAAAATATATATTTAGAAAAAGATAGAATATATAAGTTTATTTAACATTTTAATTGATAATAGGATGATAAGAATAGCGATAGGTTTAATTTTATTGATATCAATTGAATCAATGATAATTGCAACGATAGCATTAACGTCACAATCATTTGATACAATGCTAATAAGGCTTACAGGAAAAACATGTGGAATTGGTATATATCCTGATAGAGGATGGATTTGTGTATATGATTTAGGAGATTTTAGCAGTCCTTTTGGTAATAGATTAATGGCTTTTACTGGTGGTTTCATGGTAAACAATTCAAATTTTTTTTTTTTTCTTTTAAAAAAAAAAATGTAAATGAAATAATTTTTTTTAAACACGATTAGATTACATTTATTCTCGTTATACCGATGGCATTTTGCGATTTAAGCGAAAATGTTAAAGTACAAATAATATCATTTGTTACAATGTTATTAGTCGTTGTTACATGGTCAATTGCATGTATAGCGAACGGAATAAAACCGGATAGGATTCCGTTGATTGGTAGTGATCAAAGTTTATTGGTTGGATCTGTATTGTTCAATTACGCTTTTATAACAAATGTCCCAAGTATAGTCAACGATATGGTGAGTATTTAATGATTCCCGAAATTGAATTATTTTTATTTTATTTTATTCTATTTTATTCTCTTAAAAAAAAAAAAAAAAAAAAAAGGTTGATTCTTTTCTTTCTCATAGAATCGAGATGTATCGATAAGAAAAGTTATTTGGTTATCAGTAGGAATAATAACATTGGCATACATTTCCATAGGAGTGTTAGGGGCAATGGCATTTCATCATGAACTTTCTTCGAATATCATATCGGAAATAAGTCATTCTAAAATACGTAATATTTTTACGGATATTGCCACCTTTTTATTTCCGTTTGGTGGGTTACTCGCTAGTATTCCTGTGGATACTATAGTTGTTCGATATAATTTGGTCAGATCCGGAATATGTAATTATCGTGAGTAAACAAATTTTACCTTTTTTTTTTTTTTTTTTTCCTTACGCGCGTGTACTCAACTTCATTTCATAAAATTAGCCATGGCAGCATTTATTTCGTTGATCATACCATGGTGTTTAGTATTACCATTTCAAACGGGATATTGGTTAAATATATTTACGAATTGGACATGTTTATTATTTATTAGTACGACGAATTTTATATTACCATTTTGGTTATTTTTTTTAAGTCATCGTAAAGCGAGAGTTTTACAAACGTTAGAATTAGCAAGGGAGGCCGCTGCAAATGGGAAACATTATCAAAAGAACAATAACAAACATGATCAAAGTGCATTATCATATGATTACACTCGTGAACCAATCACTTTACCGCCACCACCACCATCGCATTCTTCCTCATCAACTCGAGTAGAGAAAGAATTACCATCTTATCAAACACATTTAGAAAAACATTTACAAAAACTTGAGGAACAAAAATATGAGAACCCTCAATTTGAAAAGTTAAAAAGGCCAAAGATGTATCGTCATATGTCGGCAGATGCGATGGCAATTGATGAATTACCCGATATTTTGAATGATAAGATAAATAATAATAAAGTTACGCCAATTGAAATAAATGAGAATGAGAAAAGTATTATACCTTCATATCCTTCCACTCCAAGGAGCGCTAGTACCGATGATGAAGAATTTTATCATTTATTCAATTATAGTGGTGGTAAACCTTTTAAAGCTTTTCCCGGTACGACCAAAAGTTTTGGTGTGTTCGTTTCTTATTTGGCAATTGGTGTTAGTTTCATGTTAATTGGTGGTATTATCGTATATGATTTTATGGGTTTGGCTAACGGTAGGAATTATTTTGATTTGGACATTAACACTTAAAAAGAAGATTTTTTTTTTTTAACGATTTTGATATATAATATATTTAAAAATAGTAAAATTCATTTTTTTTATTTTAAAGATAGAATCTATTTAATAAATCAAATGTATTAGAAAAAATAGATCACGTAAGTTTCCTAACTTGAAGTGAAAATTATTTTGGTATTACATTAAAGACTTGATTTTACTTTTTCACGTGGCACTCTATCTTTAAATTCAGCCGCAAATAAAACATTATATAATATTGACGGCGGTTAGAGAAATATATATATATTTTTCTTTTTTGTTTATGCTTAAAACCTTTTAACCATCAAAAACGGAATAAATTAAAATTATTGTAGTTAGGTGGATCAATACTGAATTCAAATTTCCATAGTAGAGGCAATTGTATCAATTATGTTATAAAAATTTGTATAAATCAACGAATCTGTAGTGTCCGAAGCTATTCTGCCGGCACGACGGACATATCAATCGTTATGACGTACTAAAAGTTCTCCGCTTATACTCGACAAATTATTGGTTAATTTTAATAGGTGAATGAAAACAGCTCTATATCTATTCGTGTTTTTGATAAAAGAAATGTTTGAATGGATCAAAGTTTGTTATTTCAGCATCCCTAATTACGAAATTGCATGCATTGCCAAATTGCAATTACCACATAATAATTTATGATAGCATTTGATAATGTGATAAGATAGCGCAAAAAATATCGAATCGATGTTTATCTTATTTCGTAATTTATGTAATTCGAAAGAAAGATTACATAAATAACATATCACTATTTCCGTACACGTTTTGAGTTATTATTCAATGCATCGTTTTGTTCCTCTAACATACGAATAATAAGAGAAACTACAATTTTCATTCTGCATATCCCCTTCAAAATTGCAAATAAATCGGCGAGAAATATCAACATTAGGTTTTTCTGGAGAACCAATCCAACGAATGAAATGCCATATACTTCCGGTTGATACAATTTCAAATAATAGTGGTTCAGATCCAAATTCTGTTTTGGCCAAACTTACGCTTGCCTAATAATTTCTGGAAATGTGCATTGAATGTTAGGTCCACCCTAAACATAATAAATACAAAAATTTGACATTACCTCTGATGCACTATGCAATTGCATGATGTTTTGGGCTATCCCCTTAGGAATATCATCCAATTTGGCTTCGTTAATCAGCATTGCAACATCGCCGAATTTTACCAAATAATCCACGGGGCCGTACGCTTTAGTTCCATTAAGATTAAATTCAAACGATAATTGGTTGTAAATCTTCTAATGTGTACAACTGTGGCCTTCATAAAATTGATATATATTCCCGAAAAGTTTGTTCATTATCATTGGTATATTTATTGAATGCTTCCAACGTGTATTTGATATTATCAGTAAAGTATTTCAACTCTTCTTCGGAAATTGGATTATGATTTGGGAGTTTATTCAAATCAAATGTGCAAGCTCACTAAATTCCTGATGAAAACATTTCTAAACATCATTAGTGATTTCCCATTTACTATTTAGATGCTGAAGTCGAAAAGCCACCTGATCCATATACAAGAATTATATCATCTTTTTTTTGGGATCCTTCTTTTTTTTGCCAAAAATTGATTATGTATAAATAACAAATGGCGTCCTATGGGATGATTATGGTAAATATGATCTCATCTTCCCTTATTATCGTAAAGTTTTTTACCTATCATAATTTGAATCAGGATATCTATATCATTTTTCATGTTAAATCGAGATAGAGAAAATAATCATACCTTTGATCTTGACTTTAAAGTCAGGAAGAACGCATAATTTATTGCTTACTTTAGTCTCATCTACGAGAGTGTTGAAATGAAATTCATTTTTGAGGTTTTCGATGTTGCTATTTTTGAAATTTCAAAATAAAGGTATCGTGCTTCTGCCATTTTACTGTTCCCAGATTTACAAGTCACTATGACTGCAGAGAATAAAAATGAATACTAGATATTATAAGAGAAATAAATGTATGAAAAAAGTTTTATATTTACTGCTTGATGTAGAAAATGGATATCGAACGATAAGTGGTAAAAAAACTGTTGTATTTAAAGTTGCAAGTGCAACATATGACAAAAAAGGTTAAATTTGTATATTATCAGTAAAAATTCAATGTCTTCTGATTTTATATCCTTAAGAAACTTAATTTTTTCTAAGAATTGGCTTAAGATGGTTTAAATTGAGATGATGCGATCTAAAATCGTTTGAATTAACTTTAGTTTTATATAGAACTTTGTTTACCTTCTAGTAGAACCTGCATCAATATTAAAGAATTTAAGGATGATATTTTTAGAGATGCTATTGATATGCTTTATCAACAGTATATGTCATGTTTATATTTAATTTATATTAACTAATCGAAATTTTTTAAAAAAGAATAATTATAAAATCGACACAATACAGTCAGACCTGTTAACTAAAAACCGGTTGATTATAGTAAAAATTGTGATTTTATAATTCTGGCTGGAATTATTAAAATTTCCTTTTTTGAAATTTAAGGTTACACTGATATCCAATTATGATGATTTTAAAAAAATAGAAAAAAATATTTTTTTGTAAAACGGATATTACCAAAAAAGGAAATTACATATTACACAAAGTTCTAATACAATAATTCTTATGTTTTTGCCAGAATTAAATATAACTTATGTGACATGTAATAATATACAGTTAATAAATCTAATTGTAACATCATAGACTGAGTATATATTTAATTGATCAGATTTGATATTATTAAATATAATTAGCATAATTTTACAATATGAAATGATAATTATATTATAATGTACTATAGTTACAAATTCTTTTAGGTAATAAAGAGGAGGAGAGGAAAAAGATAACTTAATTTTATAAATAGTTTAATATGAAAATTAAACATATGATATTTAAAGTCATATATATATTATATAATAAAATCTAAATATTAATGATAAGAAGCTTTTCCTTTATATGACTCTAATTAATTTAAAAAAACTTTTGAGAAAGTTTTTCTATAATTTTCAACAATTAACTAATTTAATATGTTTTTATTTCATATTTTTATCATAAAAATCTCAAATTTGTATTAAGCTTCAATTAACTGTATTCTTTATAAATTTGAATATACTGAAAGTTTATTTGGAGTTTATTTATACTTTGAAAAAAGAGAAAGAATAGTAATTTTTATATCAAATGAATTATTCAAGCAATTATAGTACAAAAAAAAACTTTTGTTAAATGGCCTACTTCAAGAGATCATAAAAAGTTTATAAAGGATTTGAAAATTTAAAAGAATTAAAAAATGTAACTGATGCAGTAGATAGAATGTATATTATTATAAAAAAATGCATTAAGTAAAGATCCAGAAGTTTATTTTACTAGAAAAAAATAATATGCTATTCATTATTAAGATATTGTAAATGATAGAGAGATTTTTATTAATTTTAATATAAGTAGAGTTCCGGACGAGTCGAGTTAACTCACGAGTCAGATAAGCCGAGTCGAGTTCAAATCAAGTCGAGTTGGTGTT